GCTTCCTTACACGATTTTTGATTTACTTTTGATTTTACTTGCCTACAAAATATTAAATGAGTTTTTACATTCCCTACATGATAGTATGTTTTAAATTCATTTTCGAGATTTAATTTTTTCTGACTTTTACTACTGACCCATCCGCTGGTTCTAGCTCCTATATTGTTATTGCTTGCTGGCACTCAATTTCAAAGTGAACAGGTCTCCGAAGTCGCGGATTGAAAAGTTTTCTATCCGTGGCGGCCCGACGCGGCGCCTGAAAAAGTGTTGCATTTACATGCGGCGTATGTACATAACGTAATTGCAGCATTTGTAATGTTACATGAAATATCTCTTCCATTCTTTTTTCTTTTGATTACCCGAATATTTCTGTATAACGTGCCATTAGAAGATTATAAAGAATCATATGTTGAACGAAATTTGTCGTATTATAATACGACAATATTCGGGTAATCAAAAGAAAAAAGAATGGAAGAGATATTTCATGTAACATTACAAATGCTGCAATTACGTTATGTACATACGCCGCATGTAAATGCAACACTTTTTCAGGCGCCGCGTCGGGCCGCCACGGATAGAAAACTTTTCAATTCGCGACTTCGGAGACCTGTTCACTTTGAAATTGAGTGCCAGCAAGCAATAACAATATAGGAGCTAGAACCAGCGGATGGGTCAGTAGTAAAAGTCAGAAAAAATTAAATCTCGAAAATGAATTTAAAACATACTATCATGTAGGGAATGTAAAAACTCATTTAATATTTTGTAGGCAAGTAAAATCAAAAGTAAATCAAAAATCGTGTAAGGAAGCACAATCCAATTTAAATCCCAGATTTGAGATTTGAGATTGTTCAAAAAGAAATACTCTATTAAGAGTTCGTATTCATTGTAATATTTAAGTGTCGTATTCGACATCACAGACTCAAAAATATCGAGTAAATCGTTTTTCACATAAATACGCATGTTTGATCTATCACTTTGTATATTACATTTTTGATTCCATATTTGCATTTATCGATAGGTATATAAGAAACGTAAGTACACCTTGTGCTGTATATATCTGGTGATGACTTTCCCAACATAATTCTGAAAAACAACGCAGAATTCCACTAGCACCTGAGAAAAGTCATATTCATTCTTTTAACACTTTGTCACTATAAAAACATATTTTTTTACGATTTTTGAGGCTATGTCTGAAATTCATGGGCGACCGATATTTTTTTTTACGGATTCATGTTAAGCGGATCAAAATACATGGGATTAATGTGTTCTCAACCTGATAAAAGTCATAGTCTTTCGTTTTGTGGTATAATAACTAATTTTAAACGATTTTTTGAGGTTATGTCTCAAATTCACCCAGCAACCCCCATTTTTGACTGCAGATTCGTGTTTAGCAGCTCAAAATACGTC